TTAACGGCATTTGTCTTTACTGATTACGCATATATAGCATTTTCTCCTCTTACAGCTCATTTCAAAAGAAATACACGTCGCCCTACAAGGTCCAACAATTAACAGCAGCAATGAGGAAACTCAACAAAGCGCAACGAAATCCCTGGTCATATGACCAGCACCAACTCGACACATTTAGGTATGTACGGCACATCTTAGTCATCAAGCTTCAAAAAGAAAGTCGACTAGTTAGCCTGCTGACAGCATCAGGCTAAAATGGCCACCGGCTTTCACGATTTGTTCTTGGGAAAAGTGAAGATTGAGAGATTAGGTTCCAGTTATAGTACCGGTAGGTTAATAATTATGTTTGGGTGTATTTCATTTCCCGTCCATTATAAAAAGCCCACAAATTAAGCCTAATCCCAGAAAGGTTATAAAGGTTACATCAAAATAAGTTCCATATTTTGGGTCATCCACCCTTCCAAATATGCCCCCCCCCAAAAAAGTTGGTTTTTCGATCTGCCTTGCTCTACGATGTTTACGAAGGAAAAGGGTTGCTGTGCCGGGCAGGCATGGAAGGATTTTCTTCCATTGGGAAGAAAGGTTGATGTGCCGGGCAGGCAGTCTGGGAATGCTCTCTGCTGGGATGGGGGGGGGGGAATTTGGTGTGACGAGCAGACAGAGTGGGCATGTTTTCACGGGCCAAAAAGGTTAGTGTACTTGTCACGCCGTATGTGGTGATGTGGAAACAAACAGGTTGACAGACAACCACGTGTTTTATTCCCTTTGGAGATATTTTTTCCTGTATTGTGTTCCAATTTTTATTCCTTTCTATGAAATTGCTTATTCGATTCTTGCCTTCCTCTTTGTGGATGAGTTGTTGCAACTTAAAATGAATTAAGGCCTATGGGCCCCGAGCTGAACCAAGAGAGGGCGTAATTTTCCTTGAAACGGAGGCTCCTTTGGTGAGAACTGCACTTCGCTGGTTCATAAACGACTATGAAACACGCGTTACGGTCAATTAAGTCGCTTCCAACAAAATGAGCAGTCTCCACCAACGTGGCTTTTTTCAACCGATGATGGGCAGCTTCTGCTCAAGGCGGGTACTCTCCGTATCTCTTGTAACTTCGCTCTTTCTGAAAGCAGCCCTTAAATTTGAGTTACACATTAGCTCACTTAAGATTGTAGAGTAATAGATTCCCCAATTTAGCTGAGTTTTCAAGTGAAAGAACCGAAACATAACTGCTGTAGTCTTGTTGTAGTCTTACCATCGTGAATACTTTCTGCCATCTTTGACGTCAGAGTTTGTGTTTTGAATAATTCCAGACGCGACCTATTCTTAGCTTTGAAGTTGGAAAGTGGGGCACATCCTTTCCACTTGACCAAGAGAAACACGCCTGTTGGGAGCACATTGCCTTTCTACCAGGCAGGCAAGGAGCAGAGGGTTACAAAATCACTATGGAGTAGTCTGCCAGAGGTGAAATCAACATACACTCACAGGCTCCAGCATGGAATCCATCGATCTAAACCAACCAACCCACAAACACCTAAACAAACAAAAAAACAAAGGCTGCATCCGAATCTCTTGTCTAGAGTCTAGGTCTTCACTCCATTAGAAATGTGTGGAGACGCGTAGACAATAGACCTAGCCGTAGCTCTGGAACCCCGGACACGGCCAAAGTTTAAAATCACAAACAAACAAACAAACAAACAAACAAACAAAAACAAGAAAGCGAATTGACCACAGCCGAGACATCCGCTTGAAAAGCATCCTATCAAACTGGAGCATTAGGTATTGGATCGTGAATATGAAAATATGGGTAAGCAGAAAAATGAAAAGGCCCAAAATACTTACAATAAACGATGATGAAAAGACAGAGAAATATGAGTGTAAATGAGACAGAGGAGCAGTTTAAAAGACTCGCGCATAAAGACGATGTGAAATGTGTTCATACACATGCAGTTGAAATCAAAAATATAAAACATTTCGGCAACATCCCGTTTCCAGAGTCACGGCAATTGAGGAATATATGTGTGTTTATGATGTGATACGGTCAGTGGCGTAAATCATTGCCGGGGACTGATGGGGACGGGGGTGAACTAAATTTGAAAAAAAAGTTGCCCGGCCGTGGAAATTTGAAAAGGGGGGATCGCCGGACACTACAAGAAACTAGGAGGCGCTGTTCATGATACAGTTTTAAAACGTACAACCACAATTAAAACCGGACAATGATTAAATTAAACAACAATAGCTCTGATTCAGACATCTCAATGAAAAGGGATAAATCGAATTAGTAAACGATGTGGTCATTGTTACTGCAGGATTCGATCGTTCGGTCCGATACGCGCTTCCCAACCTGTTCAGTGGTAGGATCCAGCGGGATTCTACTGGGATCGCGCTGTGGAGAGGAGATCGACCGATCAGAATTTGTCATTAGGTATGCAATGGAGATGATATAATCTTTATGTTAAAAAAAGTTATTACTACCACACGCGTCCTGTTACTGACTTCCGACCACAATAAACAATACATCCACTCTCTCACACTTTCCCTCACTATTGCGATTATAAGGCATTGATCTGTAAATGTTGTAAAATGTTGTACGTAGACTGTTTACGGACGACATGCCGAAAGACATGCGCAAGTCAGTCGATCTTAAGGCAATAAAGCCCCGTCGGTCCGCTGATCAATCACGGTCAGTCGGCCTGTCAATAATTTTGTTCGGTATGGAGTTGAATGAAGGGTTAACACATTCTCAACAAAATACAGGTATTCTCTTCTTGATTTTAAACGAGAGGATTTCCCATATATTTTAACTACATGTACGTAGCCATAATATCAAAAGCATGCTGATTTCTGTGTGCTGCAGGTTCAACTTGGCCACAGTGCGTGGATTCGAGGCAGATGTCGGCCACAAGACGAATCTTACCACGCTGAACCCAACTTACGTGCGAAACAGGTACGGTACCTGTACACTGCAGTGCAGCTCAACGCAATAGTACTTTGCTAGTCATTCCGAGTGACTGTTGAAATGAGAAATCGTGCGATGCCAAAGCCGCATATGATATTGCCAATACGGGCGTTTCAGAGTAGTGCGGCACCAAGAGATTGCAACGCGTTGACCAATCACAATGTGCGAATTTTGTCGACCCAATGCGCGTTAGGAGAGGGTCGACAAATTTCGCACGCTGTGATTGGCCAACGCGTTGCAAACTCATGGTGGCGCACTATTGTGAATCGCCCGGGCCGATGGCACTGTGAGACAGTGTATCGTATCTTTCAATCGAAGAAGCTAAGAAAGTGACCTTCTCTCAGCGCTTCTCATTTTCTGCCCATGTACAATGTCATGGTAAACCATTCATCATTCTCACGTCTTGGTAGTCGTCCTTCCAAGACTTCGTTTTCCTGATTGTCTTCCCAACCTTGATCATCCTTACCTCTGCTTTTGTTTTCTTAATCCTCATACCTGGTTTTCTCCGCCCTTAACATTCCACCAGACTTTACTTTGTAGACCTTTTTCCTAAATCTTTGTTCTCATCTTCGCCTTCTTACCTTCGTCCTCCCTGTTCTACTCTGAACAATTTCCTTGTATGATTCTTTTACTTGTGTCGCCTCCTCCTAATCAGTTTATCTTTGCAATGAATTTTTTGTTTAAACTGGTATTCAAAATAAGAACGCTTAGCATTTCAGAATTATAAACTTCAGAGCTTTCAAAACTAGTAGAAGAGTTTTTGCGTTTAACGTATAGGATTATCCTTCCGTACCGGTGACGATCCCGTTACGATTCTGATTTTGTCAATTTGTTTTGTTGTTTTTCGATTTTTTTTTTCAATTTTCACAATAAACATCATTTACTTGAGTTCTTTTTGAAGTTTTACTATTCCAAAAGTTATTGTTGTTGATGCTGATATCCCGATGAAGTTAATGGGTAGATGTTATTCTTTACCCACCGTCTCTAAAAATTTCAATTACTGCATCAATGTTTTAGGTTTGGTTCCCTTAAGACTGAACAAAACATCTCGGCCTTTAAGGCGTCGCTGGAACAGTTCCACGGAAGCCTGCTTTGGCTCCCGGCCTTCGGAGTGCGTGGATTCCAGGTCCCTCTCCTGAAAGTGGCCAGCATACTAGCCAAGGGCGATGTAATGACACCCGTCTACGGCAATCCAAGGCACTTCCTCGCCGTCAAGTCACTATGGAGACCACTTCTTAAAAGAAAGAAATTACCAACCACTGGTAAATCTAATGTATAGGGCCGGGGTGGAAAATTTTTTTAAACGTAATGTAGATGTAAACGTACAAACCGTGTATCACTAACTGACGGATGGGCGGCTGGACAAAAGCACCTAGGCAAACCCAGAACACTTTCAAAAGGGGTACGGTAGGATGTCCTGTACGGTGTCCTATTTTCGACACATCGTAGTCCCAGTTTCTTCTCTTTGCTCTGTCAACGAATTAGTGATTTACCCCTTCCCTGAACATTTAGGATAGCAGGTGCTGACTCCGAACACCACTAAATGAAAACGCCCACTCAGACTATTCCCAAGAATCTAAACAGGCGGTGAAAGAGACAGATGACAGTACAATCACCCATGGAACAATTCGACGCACGTTTGGCAACACTGTGCAGTATATTAATGAAAAGAAGCGGTGTGACGGTAATCGGTCAATTGGCATCTAACCATGTCACTTCCGTTGTCGATCTTGACTTCACTCGCAGCAGTTTAATCAAAATTCAGCTCTTGGGCGTGACACTGAACGAAACAATTGTGATACCCGACACTAACTGGACAGCAAAAGAAACTTGCCACTTCTGTCAGGGGCCACACATAAAAATTCACTCCATAGAAATAAACAATTTTTGTACACAGGTATGCTGCAATAACCCCTTATTAATCACATGCCCAAAAGCAAGTGATCATCTTTATAACAAAGAAGAAATTGACATGGACACCAGCTTGGTTACTTTTGCTGTCCAGTGTACCTATCGGCTATGATGACACGTCAGGGTATCGGCAGCTTAGGGGACCGCATGACCCTTACTCAATTTATACAAAGCCAGATCACTTATGCTTTGCCTTACTCAAAACCAAACCAAAGCCCTCACCCGTACAAATGGAGGTCGAAGACTGATAAACTTGTATCTTTTCTATTCCTTTTACCTCTGGCAGGGTTGTACATGTTGACTGCGGCGTTTGAGTTTTGTGACCACATCAAGCTGTTCGGCGCCTGGCCTTTTGAGAAATCCCTGAGGAACCAGACTGTATCTTACCACTACCACGACAACCTGGCCATATCGAGACATCACAGTTTCCATGCCGAGTTCTTGCAGATACTGAAATTACACCACTTGGGCATCATCAAGTTACAATATTCAGAGTGCCTATAGAAGATTTGTTTGCTTGAAAAGGCAAGACTGCTGTCGTAAATTCCTCAAGTGCGATAATAAACATTTTGTTCACTGCTAATTTCGTAGTCAAGGAATGTTGTTAAGCAATGTTCAGGGGGTACACCGATATATCTGCAACGTTACGAACTGAAACAAAGCGGTAGGCCTATGTATTGTGTGTGCTTCGAGTAGAGTGCATTTCTATAATTTTAAGTTAAGTTTAAGTGCATGAACCAGCAAGTGTAGGTCTACTTTGGACTTTTTGTTTTCACGAAATGAAACTTTTCATAATTTCTCAAGTTTGAAAGTTTTTATGGATTGAGGAAATTTCTTCAAGCCTTTTATGGTATTTTTCTCTGATTTATATATCCACAAAATGCTTGTGCAGTGTTCGTAAAAACTAATGCTTGCGTACTTCACTGTGCGCAGTGCGCGCGCATACTTTTGCGTCAGTTCGTGAAGCCTTTTTAAGAAGGGGCTGTCCATATGCGTACGCACGAAATGTTGACTTTTTAGACCCCCTCCCCGTACGCAAACGCATTTCACATATCTTTTGACTTCTCTGTACCTTGCTTTAGCATCATTAAATGTCATTGTACGTCTACTGTAGCACTCAATTTTATTCGGACGTCGCTTCCAAATTCTGACATAAATGACCAAACGGCCCTGGAAAATATTTACTCAGTAGCTAACCAAAAAAAGTTGAATAAAAACAGAAAAATAACCCTGGTGCCTTTTCTTCTTATAAACGTAGTTACTTTTTGCACTATGATTATTTGTATGAGAAAGTGTATTAAAGGCAAATTTTCAGTTTGCGTACGGTACGCGCTGGTTGGTGAACACAACGACACCACCCCCCCCTCGTGCTTACATACTTTATGCACGGCCCCGAAAGGTACCAACAAGCACTTTTGTACTGTCAGTTCGTGCAGACGGTGCGCTGTAAAAAAATACAATTTTTGAGTAGTGAGGATGACAGGGTTTTATGGCAATATCCATTCAATCATTTTTTACATAATGAACGCTGAACGGAAGTCGGTAACAGGAGAAGCTTGCCAAAACGGTGCTGAAAGCGAAGCTCAGTCTCAGAAAAGTTAAAAAGGAATAACGAAATGCACTTAGTTTTAAGCAACAATTTATTTTTAGTCCTACAAAATGGTGACTGGGAATTAAAGAAGTATCAGCTCACAGGTTGGTGTCAGATTCCTTTAACTGTTTACTGTTGCAAAAGGGGGTCGTATTTTCATTGCATAGTGTTTAGTACATGTAGTAGTGTTTGGTTGATTTCGGGGAGAAGCAAAACCACAGAAGAGACGGTAGGCAAAAGATTAAAGTTTGATGCTCATCTGAACTTATCTTATTTTGATAATGTTCGCATTGGTAGACGTGGCAAATTGACACCTGGGCCGTTTTGCAATACTCAACTTCGTCTCCGTCTTGGGCTTCGTGTAGGAAACCAATCCTCGATTGTGGGGCTGAAGTGTTCAGCTTAAATTAAAATACAGTAATGTTTGGCTCTTTTGCATCTTACTTGATGTTTTGTATCAGACGAACTATTGCGCTAATAACCTCAAAGTCCGGAAGTTAAAATAACAGTTGAAGCCTGAGACGGAGCCCAAGTCGAGTATTGGAAAACGGCCCTGTACTACGTGAAACTTTCCAAGTAGTTGCTACACAGTATACGATATTCATCCTACATATCACCTCTCCTCCATTTCTAGCGTTGCACATTTCGGCCGGCAGTCCCTGTTTCACATCACTGCTGAAAGGGGAGGGAAGAAGTGTGGGAGATGCACCTACGGTACCTGCTAAGGAACGATGGTGAAATGATGCATGAATGATTGTACTGCGATTTATTTTTCAACCTTGGTCCTCAACTATCGTCTCCATAGGGGCCCTTCATATTCAAGCGTTTTCCACACTTTGTTGGTACCGCATTTGTGTTGCCTTATGAGGAGCTAACAACGACTTGTCTTCCCTGAGCCTAATGGAAAGCGGGGCTAAAACGAGGGCGCTGTTGACGATCGTGCGTTCGAAGTAGTCACCAGAGGAACACGTTCGGTAACTATGGTTACTAGAGGGCGACTAAAACAAATTAATCGTTATCAAGATTTATTGATATTTGTCTGTACCTGTAATCGCCAGCCGGCAACTAATGTCCTCCTGGACACGTCACACCAGGCTTGTGCAACGTGTGGATTGGAATATCTATTGTGTCAAATAGTCAATAATGCTCAGGCCTTGAATGTTTCAAGGGATTTGTAGTTGACCACGTTCGAGGGCAACGCATTCCAGTCCTTGTGATAAGATAAATTGCATGTCGGCCTAGGCCTGCATGTAGGCCATACGCAAGACATCAACCAAAACAGTGACTTAACATGACCTGCTTACCGACGGGGGGTGGGAGTGCGATCTTCATAGATACGGTCAAGGTAGATCAGTATATATTAAAACCGCAAGGAAGCTAGGTCCTGTATTTGTTTCATTTAACATTTATTAAAGGCGCGCATAATCAACGTGGGCCATTAAATTATGGAACTTTATTAGTGATTCAAATTGCAGGTATGACCCCTGTAATGCGAAGAGAAGTTTCCAGTGAAATTTGCAGCATTTACTTTACGACCGTGGCAAATCGGTGTGACTTTGCTTAGCGGGAAATCGCCAATCATGCATGTTGCTCTCCCCTTTGCTCTTCGGGTTAGGATTCCAGTCTAACAATCAATAGGCAGGTCACTGAAGAATATACATTGCTGGAGCGTAGGGAGCGTCAGGGATCTCCCCTGCTGCGCCGAGCTAGCGAACGTACACTTGCAGCCGGCAGTCTCGAGAATCACTTCCTTGTTTCGATCCTCCCCCAATTTTTCCTGTCGTGTTGAAGTTGTGGTGATTTCATTGCTTCCAAACAGCACATTTAAGATGCCAAGCTTCCCCAAATAGGTCCATGTTTCGTCAGAACAAGCCTACACGTTACACCAGTAGCTACAGTAGTCAGACGAGTTCCGCGTAGGGCTACATGCTGTTGCTGCCGACGAGCTAGGTACCGTTATCGTCCCGATCCCCAACGGAGCTGAGGTAACGTGAAGCCTTGCCTACGTGAGTCGAAAGCCAGGCGTTGCATCTGCACGCACGGCATTTATTATTGTGGCACTGGTAGCCTGTGCCTGTCACCTAGTACCTGTGAAGAGAGTTCACCTGCAGCCTTAGTGCAGGCTTGGAAATCTTCAACTCAAGCAGTCCTTCCCGGATTTCGTTGATGTACTTGTGTGCATGAGTTTGTATTTGCCATCCACTGTCTAGTCTGTAGGCCAACAACAAAAGACCTTCAAGATGATGGGCAAACAGTATAATCGTATGAAGCAGCTGGCTAAGCAAAACATTTTGAGGTAAGGTACATTTTGTTGTAAATTTGTAGGTGCTATAATAATTAATATTAGTATTACATTGCCTGTGGCATTGGCAGAGGTGCCTGCGGGCTACGGTCATCATGATCATGCTGTTGACTTTTTCTTCTGACATCTACTGCAGGCACTGTTTTGTCCTTGTCTTTACCTATTGTTCATGTTTCTTTGTGTAAAGGGTGCTGAATAAATAATAATAATAACATTAACATTGGATATTTAGCCTTTGCCTGCTAAATTTAAGCCCCCTAATTGATATTTAGCCGGCTGCAAGTACTGTGGACAGCGCCTTCTTTGATGCATGAGTAAGCCAATAAAGTTGATTATTTTACCACCTGATGTCAAGCGGGGCAATGTAGGGACTGTGGTCTACTGGATAGTGCCTATATACCATGAGATCTCACGTGAAATGTTTCCACTTCTAGCTGGGTTTGATTCAGGTGTCAACTTTTTTATCCGTAAAAAGTAAGAGTTTTTTTGGCCATTTTTAAAGTGACTCCAACATTTAATTACAAATATATAATGCCAATGCCTATTGATGTCGTCTTTTTCCTCCAAGTGGCTGCAGCAACTATGGTTAACCGTCGGTTCAAAAGTACAAGACTAATTCACAAAGTGTTAAAAATCCCACGCAGCTAATACACATACATGTACTTCTAAATACTAAATGAAAATACAACTCTACATGTATTTAACCCTAACCCCCGTAGGGTGTATGTAAAATCATATTGAAATTGGAGGATTTGAGACTGTTAAGGTTAAATCAAAAAGACAAATGTCCATTTTGAATGAATTGGTGGTTAAACCGAAAACCAACCAAAAGGTGATACATGTATTTCTGTAACACTTGGGCTGCCCATACAAGTAGACAAAATGAGTGGTCTATAGTACAGGTATTTGTCATTGCATCTTTCAACATTTAAACACTTGCACTTGTCTGGTGTTTTATCATATACTTATACATAGACAGATGCAGAAATGCAAAAACTGAGTTCTTTATGTAGGCTTGCATGTACATGTTAACCCTAACCTTCCCCAACCACACAGAATTAAACAGTAGTAAAGTGTTTATTTCTGTGGGGATAGGTCTGGTAGGCCCACAACAGCTGGCTTTTGCATTGGGTTTGGCATACCGTACCTCAGAAAAACAAAGTCCAACAGCCTCTGTGCACAATGTCCCATATGGGTGTTTAACTTTGTGTGAATGGGGAAGGTTAGGGCCAGCAACCCTTGGGGAGGTTAGGGTTAATGTATACATACAGTATGTACATCTACACTGTATCCCAGTCTTTGTTTAGTGAAAAAAAGGACTTCTTCAAGAGTCGGGAAAAAATAGTAAATCCAAGAATGTGGGTGCTGCCACTGGGATGCGGAGATTGGACACTGTAAAAGATATACTTGTATGCTGACTGATTTTGCAGTCTCAAATTTGACCTGTCTCTTCCAAGGGAAAGAGTGGTTTCTCTTCTTAATTTCAATTTCATCTGCTTTTTTTTCAATTTTTTTTAAAAATCTTCAATGATTCAACTCAAGGACCAATGACTGTGCATGGTTATGCTAAAAATAACATCACCCCCACTCACAACAATCCGCTGTGCACATTCATGGGAGTAACTCGGTATATCACGGTAGGCATGTTCATTTTTTCAGTCAATACTTGACCAACTGCTTAAAATACTGTGCAAGATATAAAGGCCTATATGCAGGCACTGAATAAACAGCTCTCTATCCATGCAGGTATGTACTTTGTGTAGTATTAGCCTAATACGTATACTCGGTACATGTATGTACATGTACCACCAAATGTCGAACAGGTGTTAAATGGAAGAACAGATTGTTGGAGATTTCGGGGAAGTGTCATGTCAAGTTGTACATGTACATTATGTTTCAGACCAGAACAGAAAGCTCAGTTGTAATTAACAAAGTCTGCAAAGGTTGTATCATTGTGCTTCATTCCTCAGTCCAGGGTCATGCCAGGCACTTCAGTTTCACAGGATGTCAGGATTCCTGTGAAATCATTTGTTTGAACATTTATTGATATGCAAATGAGAGTGTTCTCCGACCTTTAAAACAAATCTGGCCCTCCATTAATGCTTTCTTCATCACGCACCATGGTTTAAACGGCGCCACCAAGTTTGAAACTTAAGACTGTCAATTTTATCAATATTATTCCATGTACAATGGAAACAGTTACCGTAGAAGTCATATTGTGGTGGCAGGTCATACTTCAATTTTGGAAAAAAGAAAATGATTCTAAACCAGTAATAAAAAGCATAAAGCACAGTAATCCAAATTACCTCCACAAATACATGGAATAGTGTCCCCTACAATTGCTGTTGCCCTTCACGTTTGTCTCCATAAATTCTCAATGTTAGGAGAAAACAGAACATGAGGTGAATGCTGTGTACATGTACCTTTAGCATGCATGCTTTTGGCACAGCGGAGACGGTGGCAAGGTTACAGAGATAATATCTTTGGAAAAAAGGCTGTAATTGTGTAAAATACGAGAGAATATACCAGCAGGACCAGTTGGATTTTCTGTGAATATTCGTGGGGGGTTTTCTGACCTACTTGTTACATACAGGTACATGTACAGGTACGCACTTACACAGATTGCTTCAAATTGCACTGCATGCCGCTCAGGTGCAGCTTGTGCCAAACTGCACAGTGCCATTTTCCGACTACTGGCACTCTTGTCATTCTCGTTCCATCTACGACGTATATGAATTGCAAGTCATCAATTTTGATTTGAAAAACCTTGCATGTCACAAAGGAAAACAACTCTCATGAAGCTTGCCGTTTTGATTAATGATGGACATTGCACTGCAACAATGTAGCTTGGCTGAAGGCACTGTATGTGTACATGTACTTGTATGTGTCATGTGCATCTCACTCAATAAATACCGTAGGCTGTTGGTGACAAAGCCTGCGGCCCTGCCCCCTGGGTTTATTGACTTAAAAAAAGGATTTGCCTTGATGGTACTTGATATCCTGTGTTGATGTGAACTTGGATTGCTTTGATCACTGCCTTGTTCAGATAGATCAACTTTTGTTGTTTATTCAGCTCCCAGCCTGGGCCCCAGGTTAACCAAACATGGTGCCCTCATGTATGTATGTACATTACCTGCACAGTGCACCTGATGGAACATAAAAAAGTTTGGGTACTGCACACTGGGGGGAGGGTCCAACTGCCATGACAGCTTTGTCTATGGGGGCGTGTAAGGTAATCTGCTGACTGACATCAGCATGGAACGAAATACTAAACATTCATTCATTAGTTTGCTGAACTGTATGTACACGCACTTCCTGAACTGACTACCTCCGTGTTCCCTCCATCTGAAATGAGGAATGAAATGATTATAAGTGAAATATAGTCACTCCGATGTATCAATATTGTGCTCAATTTTCCCCCCAGAATTGTTACTTCTTTAAACTACATGGACATGTAATTCAATCAAAATATGCAGTGATTTTCACTCCTAATTTTTCTAGTCCTTTGTTTCAATCTGGAAATAATAGGGTATTTTAAAGATTTGACCTTCATGGAAGGTAATCTCACGTTGGTTCCCTGGGACTTCCCTGCTTTGTCCAATAGAAGCGGACGGGGACCCTTTGCAAGTTAACTGCTCAATGAAGCACGGTCCAACCGTCCAAGTTGCTGGTGACTGTCATAAAATGATCTGCCTGCTCCATCCAACAGTAAACACCGGTGTCTTATTTTTCTGTTCCCTGCAAAATCCAACAGACGCTAATATACCAACTGAACAGTCAATGATTGCCTGCTGATTCTGATAGAGCCCAGCTAAGTTCATTGTTTACTGCTAAATCCAACAGGATCTCGGGGTTGGATCCTAATTGATTCAACATGATTAGGCTGATTAACCATACCGGTACATGTAACTGTACATTTCCTGAGCCACTCATTCTGACTGTGATGCATAATGACTCTTCAGCAGTACAGCAGAGTTAAGCAACCTAGTCATTCAACACAACCTTTACCTATCACTTCCATATGTCACACATACCTGAAAATGTGATTATTTGTTATGAATCTTCAACCTGATGTGTATTCCATTTCTTCTGAAATTACAAACACACACACGTATAAAAACAGAATAACAAGACACTGAACTTCTTTCTACTTGTAGTTTTTTTTGGATTTTCTTCAATTTGTTAACGGCAAATCAAGAGCAAGCCCAAATCCAAGCAGATGTGTGATACATATAAAAGCAGATTCAGTGTGACCAAACCATGCTGAATCTGATGACGTTTCCCCCTTGCTGTTTAAAAAAAGTCATGTCCAAATCATTGTTACTATTCAGTGCCACAGATACACATGAAGTTCCCCAGATAATTACAATGCAGTTTGGTTCTGAAAGACAAGGAAGTGGCTGTGGTGTGTGTTACTCTTTATTAGTGAGGAAGCGGGCAGTGTGTTACACTTCAGTGCAGTTTTGCCAAGTCATCAGATTGGTTGAAGACTGTTCGAAATTGACTTACAGGACGATGACTGTGTATGTGGTCGGTGTTACATTAATTTGCAAGATCTAGACTTGGCTCTAGCCTCTAGATTTGGATGGGGCCTTTCAAGTTCAAATTAGTCAGCACAGCTGCATGTAGAACTTAATGCACCATAATGTACATGTACATGTACACATGTGTAGACATATATGTATGTATGTATGTAGATGTGATTTTGATGACAGTAAGTTTATTCTGCTTTAGCAAACTTGGTGAAGGTGCATTTTTTAAAATGATTTTCTAATGAAAATTAACATCAGAGAATTCTCTCTTCATGTCCTTGTACCGGTACATACATGTTCTGTGGGTCATATGGAAACACCAAGGCTCTCTTTGTACGGTAGACTTTGACTGACCTGGGTAAATTTCATTTTTTTTTTTGGTGCTGATCTGACCTCCTGGAAGATAGTGTGTGCATATTCCAACATTTGTCCCGAGTTTTCATACTGTAATGCACGTGTATCCTATTTATGTGCTGAGGAAAATTAAGTGGAAAAGAAACCATCAGTATACAGATAACCTGATACAGATAACCTTCCGGCTCGGATCTGATTCTCCTTTAGAAGCGGAACTTCTCTGTGTAATCAACCTGTTTGAACTTGGGCACCCTGTTCTCACTTTCAAGACAAATGTGGACATCCCGTTTTTCAAATGCTTGCTCCAAAGCCTGACAACTGTCAGGTACATGTACACTTACATGTACAGGGGTCATTCTACACCAGAGGGGGTACGGAAGGGTGAAATGGGAATGAAAATGAAGCTGGACAGTGACATGTTGTTTGTCCTGTTGTCCACTTGTACATTACCACTCAATTAGTAAGGATTACACTTGCCACAAACGGAACATTGTACAGGCAGAATTGGACTTTTTATGGGTAGACTTTGCAACAGGTGTACTGATACAGGCACAGGGGCTCAAAATAGCACCAGCCGTGGTGTACAAACATGAGTGGAAATGGTTCTCGGTTTCCCAAACTTGCTTCCTCAGTTGCCCAGTGGGCCAGTGAAACTATACATGTACAGAAGCGAAAAATAAATAAAACTCCAAAGTACAAGTAGAATGCACATTTTACTGGCCTGTTCAGAGCTTTTACTGGTGATTTGCCCAACTATTGCCCCTTGACCTGTAATTCTAATCCCGGCAACAATTACTGTACATATATTGCCTTGCAAAACCAAATGTGACAGTCTACTTTGTATTTGTGTCTTGGTACACACAAACATGTATCGGTACACCCACACTTACCTTACATACCTACTGTGGACATTCCTTTCTTTTCGTGCAGTTCAGAAAACTCAGTGAAAATACTCGTTTTTCTTGAACTGGGAACACGATTTTCAGCTGGATTTTTGTACAAGGTTTCCTTGACTGTTCCTCCTCCTTTTACGACGGATAACCCCTGCCCCAAAATGCCACTAAACCCCTTTTTCAGAGAAGGGGAAACACACTGTGGACATGTGTAAGTCCACAGAACGTCTTCCTTTCCTGCATCGTGTGGACAGCTTTTGTTCACAAGTCCACACTAGGTATGTAAGGTTGGCGCATACTTGTGCATTTGTGCATTACACAGTTTCAGGGTGTAGATTTTACGTACATATAATGGTAGAAGATTGATTTTAAGGAAACTCGAAACATTTTTTTAAAGGGAGTGGGGTGGGGATCTGTTATAGAGTCTGCTCTTTTTGACGTCACCGTTGTGTTTTTCCTACCAGTGGCCACTAAAACAATGGCCGGCAGTCAGTGCAAAAGTGAAAGAATAGTGTTAGATACATATCCCACCCAGCTGTCATAACACAAGATAATGTTACTTACATGTACTCACTACTAAGCAATGAAGGAAAATAAAATCTTCAAAATTAATGAGATGAGTATACATTCTGAATGAATTTGAGGTAAAAATTGAAAAACAACCAAAGGGGCGATTTTTCTGCCAACTTTGGCCAGTTGGCCACCCGTACAAATTGTAGGCAAAATGAGAGCGGTCTATTACCATGTTAAAAGCTTAGATCAGTTAATGGTATTTATACTTAAATTTACTCTTTTCCCAAAAACTTGTATTTTGGGGAAAACTTGTTCGGGCATGGTTTCCTCATTGGATCTTTTTCAAAAAATATAATTGTACATGTACACGTATGCAGCCTGTGTTCAAGCACCTGCACACCAATAGCAGAGGTTACAGAACTGAAAAGAAAATTCAAATTTTTGTTTGTCCACAGGGCAGAGAAGACAGAGGTCTTGAATGATGATCTTCAACAGGTATGTCACCAGAGTGCCATTTCTTTGCGTAGTATGTTTGAGGGTAAAAGCCTGATAGTGTTTACATGCAGATAATTTGAATCGTCAGATAAGGTTAGGGAGTCAGGTTGGCGTAGTGTTTCTTTCCTCACCTTCCACCTCTGTGGTCCGGGTTCGAATCCGGCTCAGTCCACATGTGGATTGGGTTTTCAGTCCCTACCTGAGTCCATGGGTTTTTCCCCAAACATTTATCCGGGGTTTTCCTCCCACCTCTAAAACTGAACATATCTTCATTGTCTTTTTCGCTCATTATCTTCCTGTAATTTGTGCTAAATGCACTGTTGGATGAATAGATATAGATACATGTATAAATAAATAAATCCTTTGCACAAAAATCCATTCTTTTGTGTAGAATGCTTCAGAAAGTTAGTAGGGAGGATGGACTTTGGCTTAATGCCCATGTACACACAAGAAAAGGGTGCTTGAAATTTGTTGACATTTACTGGGGCAGTGTGGGTACTGAGATTGACAAAATGAGACTGAGTACCACTTTAATCAGTGGTAGGGCTGTGGGTTCCTGGACACTCATCATGGCCCGAACACCTATGTACGCTAAATTATACATGAATTGTGTGTTTTGAAATTGGCGTATTATACATGTAAGTGCCTCTTGCCAGTTATCAATTCATTCATAAAATGGGCTCATTGCCGACAATGGACGTTGCTGTCGTTCTTGAAGCCTGTCTTGAGGCATGACCCTCATGTGGTACATTAAACGCAAGGTTTAAATGCCAGGAAAGTATTTGTTGTACAAAAGAATCTAATTCACAATAATTCTTGAAGTTGAGACCTTTTTTCCTCAGGTCTGACCAAATCATGAAACTGGTACCCGGTACATGGTTGCAGGTTGTAAAGGCGCTTGTACATGTATATCACACATTCCATGTATCTTTGAATGAAGCAAGTTGGCATCTTGGAAACTGTACATTGAGCGTCCAGTAACGGGTCATCTTTCAGACTGTCATCTGCAAAAGCTTACACTAAGTCGACTATAGATTAACAAAAGTAAAACAAATCAGGTCTTGGATCTATTATTGGTTGTCGCTACTAATGCAGCTGTTACAAAGGAAAACTAAAAAAAAAAAAAAAAAGCCCCTCCCGATCTTTTGGTATCATTTACACCAGTAAGTGGAGGCCTGGTGCCATGTTCCCTAAATTCACAAGTCCAACATTGCTTCCCCTGTGCAACCCTGCAGGGTAAAATAGTCCTTTGTTTGGCTTGGATTGCAAGGACATACCGTACATGTTCAGGTAATATCAACAATGGTAAAATGGGGGCATTATGTTTTGTGACGGCTGCAACCAAGAAGTAAGATAAGCTGCAGAACCTATTCAAAAGGTGCAAAGCGAACAGGTAGAAAAAGAAAGCACTACAGCACCTGCCTACATGTACATACATTACATTATACCTAAATGCACATTTTACGGTTTTGTGCATGCCCCCACTCAGACAAAAAAACGGTTTCTTTTCCTGTGGTGATTTTTCAGTGTGAGAAGAAAGTAGACATTATCAAGGATGCTTGCCAAAAAACAGTGAAGAAGCTGTCGGCGTGCCTACAAGGAAGCGGCCAAGATGTGGAGAAGAGAACGGTATTAATATTGTCCATTGTATGGTCTTTTTGACAAATGTTGTAATGAGAAGCAGAGTTATGGCACTTCACACTGTCCTGAATAATGTACATGTACATGTTCTTGCAAATACACGCATGCTGTGTATAAACAGATGCACTGATTGTTTCGTGGGTCTTCCATTTCAGTTGTCCCTTTCATGAGCATGCAAACACAAGGAGGGGTTTACAGTCAGTGCACACTTTCATAAAGTTAGGAAATGGTGGATGGGCTGTCGGCCTTGACTTTGCATGTACATGTACCGGGGTATGCCTTTGGGAAGGGGAGGAGTCGGAGGAAAGAGTGGGTTTTGTGAAAAGAATGACAAAAATGGATGAACCCTGAACAATACTTACATATATATTCTCAAATTGTACATTTGAATTCCTTCATTCAAATTTATTCTGAAATTACTTTTTAACAACTCTGTGTCACGGAGGACATCATGTTCCTCCCTCCCCCTCAAAAAATCTTTGAGAAAGTGGAATCGTACATAATCACCTTTGTACCCTCCAAGGCACTTTTTCAAAATAGACACGACTGTGATGTTGACACGACGTGCGATAACCAGCACGGTTTCCATTACCGCTTGTAAACAAACCTTCTTGGAATCGGAGACCTATTTTTGTCTTCTGCCTGTCCATTGGGGAATCCATGTGCTGGTAGCCTACCACAGAGGTTACCAGGGATAGTTTAGTCCTAATCCATGTGTAGACACCATCAGCAGGCCTTGCACATATGCATGCACTCAAGAGCTGTTGTCACTGTTACAAGTTAACCCTAACCCCCTAGGGTGTATGTGAAATCATATTGAAATTGGAGGATTTGGGACTGTTAGGGTCAAAGTACATGTACACTTTAATGTACAGATTTTGTGTGCTGTACATGGCCTGGTGTGTTTGAAATCAATTCCAAGGTCATTTTCCCCCCCCACATTTTGCATGGAACTTCCTTCAAAAAGGTTGGCAAAAGTTGGAAACTCAAAACCTAACAAACCTTATTGGCATACAAATACTGTACATGCATGATTAACAAATGCCTTACTCATTCAACCCCTTGATCTCTGTTGTCAAACTGAACAATACATTGCATCTATACAGAGTAGGTGAAAAGCTAGCCATTTACTCTACACCTCGCCAGGGATAGGTCTGGGAAGCGCTGTCCCATTTTGGTTCTTTCATAGTAAATGTACATGTACATGTCAATGCCATTGTTATATTGTAGCATTATCTGTCTATGACATGTTTGTTTCCTGGATGGTATTTCCCTGTTTTTCCTAGGTACAAGTACTTGTAGCTTTTATCCCTTGACAGTGGTTTCAGACCCTCACACCAAGGAAGAAGTGAACGCAAGCATCAAAAATAACGGCCCTACATTTGACTGCACGCATTACTAGTAGGAACATACATGTACGTGCATGGGCCGGTCATTTTCACAGGTACACAAAACGTGCTGCGCAAGATGCGCAAGTCTTCTTAGTTCTTCTACGCGTACATGGTGTACGTTATTCTGTTGATTGGGTGTAGTTGGGAATGGGGTCTGGCGATAGCCACAGATTCCCATTTGCAGAGATCGGCTTATACCTGTACCTATATGTGATGACAGTATAAAGTTGGGAGAGTGTGACAGACACTCCTTTCACTGCTGGTCGCCGTGTGGGAGTACAAATTGCCAGTAGCAGATCCATTTGTGATGCACTGTACCGTGACACTGTACATGTATGTATTTTCGTTTTGCTATTGTACGAATCTGGTTAGTAGCACAGTTTTGCATAAACATAAATGCATGTACATGTACAGTGTCTATTCATGTACACTGTGTGCTGAAAACATGTACATGTAGGCCTACATGTACCAGATTATGCACTGAAACTTGTCATGTATACATGTACGTGTCAGAACTGCCAAAATCCCTGGCTATGATAAGAAGTGAATTTTTGTCTTTTCGTCCCTGTTGGCTGGTTCAGGAAGTCAATGGTAAATGTGGGTTTAATTTGAAGGCGGTTTTTGAGAGGAAAGTGTGTTTTTCAAGCTTTTTAATGGTTCTCGCACAGAAAAAATAATTATACCTACTTGTTGATAAACAGATGTGTTCATGAGTTTCAGTGTCAAGAATTGTGTCCTGCATTCTTTCAAATACATGAGTGGAAAATATCCCAAATCAAATAATGGACAACAATTTCCTTTTCAAATTTACCTGTACAAGAAGTTACTGGTATGGTTTGAGTGGCACCGCATACAGGTTCAACACTGTAAAACATGCCCACAAAACCCTAGAAATGTGCAGTTTCTGGCAATGTATAGAGGCCCAAGATTCCACATTGTACTAGTTTCAAACACTTCAGTAATCATGTGTATGTGTCAGACTTCCAACTTCCTTGTTTTCCTTCCCTGGAAGCAGTTGTTCAGGGCACCGTCGCGTATTTCTTTAACCCCACTCCCATCCAGTATTTTTTCCCCTCTTTTCTTTGATGGAAAGCTTCCTTGATCTTGCCAAATGAGCCAGTTCGGTATTTAAAAAAAAAGCAAGGACATTCCGGAACAAAGCACGTGCAGGAGTCCATGCATGGTAGCCCTGACGGGGCAGACCTCAAACGTACATCCGAATGATCTAGGACATACGTCGTTTTGGTGATGTGCTGTTGGAATGCTGCACTGGCTCATTGAAAGCTGCGAACTAGTGGCACACTCGTTGCATCCGCGGGATGTCAAGCCCCTTTTTCAACGTAACAGTGGCTGTTGTTTGAATCCACCCACGGCCAACTGTTTGGGAGAAGTTGAAATGGTTTGGGTGAAAATACATGTATGTTAAGACAATCATGTACATGCAAAATGTAACATGTATGTTCATGTACATGTACCTGTCCACGTAGTGCTGCACAGTATGTACTGTATATTGTACTTAATCTTGTATCCTTGAGACTCATGTTGAATATACATGTACAGTATACATGTACACGTACAGTACATTGGCACTGTACGTACATGTACATGTTCTGTGGTAACAGAGATTTCCTCTTTTCTTCTGTTTATAGCCACAGTGTCATATATTACAAAGTGATACAATGTCAGTCATCTTCCTTTGAAATGGAAAGCAAAACTGCCGCAGGTGGTAATCTTGCACCTCAAGCAGCCTCAAACCTGACCAACTCGTGGAATGGGTACGCGGTACCAGGTCAGAAGGAAATGCTCTGTTGCTGTAGAACAGCGTTTCATGTACATGTAACGTGAACATCAAACTGGAAATCGTTCAAAAGAAAGGTTTGAAATGGACATACTGCAGGCACACGTATGCATTTATTTTGGTGTGAAATCCTTCTTATATTTTGGCTTTCGCTTCAGTGAAAACAACTTGTTCTGAGCCTTGTTGGGGAGGAATTGAGCAGAATCATAATCATGAGCTGTTTAAGCACAAAATTTGTTTAAGTGTGAAAAAAGTTGCATAAAAAAACACAAATGTTACCAGCTCAAACTCTTTGTAATAGTCATGCTAACTAAAACACAGCTAAATACGATCCCAAAACAATATACATCACATGGAGTTTTGGCTGGTTACCTGATTTATCAAGCGAGGTTTTCTCGCGCTTAAGCAAATTTTGTGCGTAAGCAGCTCTACAAAATTGGCCCCTGGTATGTCCAAGGTTTCAGATTAATTATACGGAAGGCAGCATGTACTGTTAGGTCACATAAACTTGTCCCAGCCAAGATTTGGGTCAATCCATACATTTAGGGGGGGCCAAAAGAGGGACATTTTTGGTGTTCCTGTCACACCTGACCTCTGTACAGGTGATTTGACAAGGACATACCTGTATCATTAAAATTGACTTCAGACTTTGTATGGCAGGTAATTTGCTTTATCCAGTCACTCTTTGAAAATAAATACACGTAATACATATACATTCTCAACTAATAAAATCAGATGCTAGATTTGAGGACACGAAAAGAAAAGGATCCCTAACGACCCATTTGCTTTTTATGTGTCGTGTGTCCTGAAACACAGCAAAAATTGTACATGTATTATTGTGTAAAATATAGTACCAAATATTGGTACTTCAGTTTTGAAATTAAAAAAAAAAAAAACCTCGTAGTTTGAGAGAGAGTGGAATTCACAAGTGCATTGTCACTCAAAGCACTGGACGTGTATCAAGGCTTCTTCGTGTTGCCAGCAAATCGTTCTCATGTTTCCTGAAGTTTCACTATGGGCCATTTTACTGTATTATATCGGCCAAGAGTTTATGAATGTTTTGATTGTGAATTGTTTTATTTTTCTTTCCTCCACAGAGAAAACTTCCTCATACAGTGCTGGGGCAGAGCATGCTAGACTCCGGCCAAGCACTGGGTGAAGATTCAGTCTTTGGGTGAGCATTCGTTAACTCGCGTCTTTGCTGTGATTCTTGTTATACCGCAGGCTCAAACAAGTGAGGACTTGTACATTACGTGTGTACAGTATGTGAGCAAACCCTATTTAAATGCCCCAACACGAATGCAGTCAGTTGTGTGTTGACATCCCTTTGATGTGAGAGGAAAGGTCCACATAGAAAAACCGGCACTGAAGTGCCATTGTTTTCTGTAGTTTTCGGTACGCACAACTACGAGATGTGCTAGGAGCCCTAACACATACAGTAATATTTAGGTTTACCGTTGAGCAGTAAGACGTACATGGATGTTTTTGTACATATTAAAAGGAGGTGTATAGGCCAGACATTCTGATTATTTAGATTCTCGTTTGAAAACTTGCAGAGTGTGTCATTTTGCTAAATATTTCTGGACCCAATTTGTTTGGATTACGCTTCAGAGTGTATTTGTATAAACCTTTGTACATGTATTTGTTGATTGGTGCATCTGTTATACCCCCTAAAAGTAAACAGATGATGGTGTGGCACCCTGCTCATGCGTACATGTTATGTGCATGCTGGCAAGTTGCAAAGGTGCTTTATGTACATGTATTAGTCCAAGGCGTACATTAGTGGATGATTTGCAGTCTCTGCCTGACTGCTGTCGCACTTCAAAACTAGTGTCTGCTAACTGGGGAAATCAGATTAGCCCGTGTGATATGGGATGCTGTTCACTTATCCCGAAACCATCAGGTTGACACTCGGTAAGACGGCTGAAATATGGACCAGTATTGGCCAAGATCTGACCAGCCACGAGAGGGGACTTGAGGATCTTGTCATTACCCCGTTCAGCGGACTTTTAGATGTGAGTATGACCGTAAATCAACTTTCAGCGTTCATCAGTTTTGGAGGGGGAATCCACAGTGCTGAGTGCCGCCGCGCGTGTCCAGTATAATTTCCTCAGATGGTCCACTTGTCAGCTTTACAGGGCTCACTTTTTTGTTTACACTGGTATTGCTGTCTTAGTTTATCATGCCTATTTATTGCGCATACATGAAAGTTAAACACCACTGTTCAAGGTCCCCAATTGAATGCCGAAACAAACTCACACCCACACTTACCTTACATACCTAGTGTGGACATTCCTTTCTTTTCATGCAGTTCAGAAATCTCAGTGAAAATACTTGTTTTTCTTTAACTGGGAATACATTCTCAGCTGGCTTTTTGCACAAGGTTTCCTTGACTGTCCCTCTTCCTTTTACGGCAGATGACCTCTACCCCAAAATGCCTCTAAACTCCTTTTTCAAAGAAGGGGAAACGTCCTGTGGACATGTGTAAGTCCACAGAATGTCTTCCTTTCCTGCATCATGTGGACATCTTTTGTTCACAAGTCCACACTAGGTGTGTAAGGTTAGCGAACATCCCATGTACTTGTTCTGTATGTGTGGGGGCATACATTGGTCATTGCACCTAATTTGTGGGGATGGAAAAGGTTGTGGGGACAGAGAAATGTCCCCACAACTCAGTCCTAATTTGCTTAAAAATATACAACTTTCCTGTATTGCGTTGAGGGCCCACACATTTTGAAACTAAAAAACGAGGATCATTGCTTACCAGGAAAAGCATGCAGCTTGCTGTCATATGACTGAGTGGACAAAGCACTACGTTTCCCTTTGAACTCTCACATAAACTATACACACAGGTTTATGTTCCAAACCTACACGTTAGTGCAGTGTGGATATTCTGTACTTTGTGTAACTAAGGAAACTTGTTGAAAAGACGTGTTTTTGATACTTTCACGTATCAACACTCTTTTAAGCTGGATATTTGTTGACCAGTTGCTTAACTGTTCTTCCTTTTGCTACAAATAAACCTAACCTAACAACCTACCCCCCCATGCCTCTAAAACAATTTTAGAGAAAGGGGAGAACCTCTTGGAGACCAGGCTTAGGCTGCATCCGTATCTCTTGTCTAGAGCTAGGTCTCGGTCTTCGCTCCATTGGAAATGCATGGAGACGCGCAGAAAATAGACCTAGCCCTATCTCTGGAAGTCCGTTTCGGACACGGTCTCAGGTTCACACAACCTGCATTTTGGGAATCTCCTTTTGTTTAAGGGCTCACACTAGATACATGTATGTCAGGTTGGCGCAAATGTTTGGGGATCAGTTTTGATCAAAAGATAGACTATAAGGACAGGAAACATCCTTTGTTCCCTTAATGGGTCTTTGCCCTTTGGTGAAGCTGTGTACAAGTCCACAAAGCGCATGCTGACTCTATCCTGTGATGTACAGAAGTGAAAGTGAACTGTCACATCTCAGATAGCAGCTTCCTGTGGGATTACTGAAAGTACAATACATTTAGTCAGAAAGTGGAGATTTGGAAGTACATGCCGTTAGAGGTGCTTACCAGTTTATGTATGTGCAGACCCTTGAATCTGCAAGCAATCACATCTTGAGATGTACCTTAGACCATGTAGACGGGGGATGGAAGCCATGAACATTCCTTGCGGTTGATTCACTCCAAAACTATTTTTGTGAAATACTGCACCAGATGAGCGCTGTTGATAGAAGTTCCATGTCTGCGACTGATAAACATTATTGGACAAGTAGTCAGTCGAAGGATGCCATAGTTACGGTACCTCTGTACAATACTGATGGCCTCCCCACCTTTAATACTGCAGTATGCATCAAAAATGTATGAGTGCCCTGGTGTTTTTGTATGTCGTGTACTTTTGTGCAAATATGGGCGTAAGTTTGTACATGTATGTGTGTACAGTTACAATGCAGCACCGGAACAACATTTGAAATGCTGTGTCAGATGAAGATACTGATGTTGTGCATAACAACTCCTGGGGCGAAAGAGGGCTCAGGTTATGAATTCTCTCCCTAAAGTTTCAATATAGATTCTTAGACACAGAAACGGTCAATTACATATTTATCCAAATAAGAACCTCTCCAATCTGGAAATACTTTGTGTGACCTTTTCTCTGGACTCTAAGTAAGTGAGGATAAATTGCTTTCCAAGGATAGTAAAAGGCATCATTTGCTCAAAGTTCTGAAATGGTTTGTGTTGTTTGTGAATGGAACGGTGACATGTTGTGCAGAAATATTGGCTTGGCAAATAACTAATACAAACGGATTGATCAAGTGCAAATTTAAAGCTTGGAAATGTGTAGGCTACATGGACTTAGTGTACAAAATCTGTGAATCCACTCATGCATAAATTGGCAAGCAGGGCCTACATTATCTAATCGACAGATATACAGTACAAGAATCATTAAGTTCCACTGAACTCATTGTATATTAAAACTAAACTAGGATTTTCATTTTCTGCACTTGCATGGCAGAATATTCTTAACTCAAAAATGAAAGAATGATTTGTGAATCTGATTGATGTTTATATATGCGCACACGTTGCTCCTGCATGCTGATTAGGGGATGGTGGCCTGACGCGTGGTTGTACCAGTGTTGTTCAAACCAACCCCCACCCATGTACTTGTTTCAATTTTTATTTCTGCTCCTTGTTTTTGACAATATACTGATAAGAGTCGCACCAGTGGTCTCATCTTGTACTCGATGTGGCAGATGGGAGAGGGGAGGAGTTCTGCTTTGGGATTTGAAGCCCCATTTTCAGGTCAGAGAACGGGCCTCTCAACTGAATTATGGTACACAGTACAAACTGCATTACGTGTGCTCCCCATAAAGGTGTGCACCACCCTTGTATGTGCTCCCCATAAAGGTGTGCACCATGCTGGCGTGTGCTCCCCATAAAGGTGTGCACCACCTTGGCGTGTGCTCCCCGGAGTCACACTCGTGTTATGTTCAACTGACTTACCAAACGGGAGAGAAGTGTGCATGTCACAATGATGTGCTCTAAACCTCTGCATGTTCTTGCATTCAGAATGAAATCCCAAGTATAATGAACCTGAAGAAGAGGCTGAACCGGCTGACCTTGGATCTCGATTCTGCCAAGGGCAGGTAAGATGGCAATGTTGTAAGACATGCTGTTTCATTAATAGTGATCAGTCACATTAACCGGTACATCATATAACTGGAGGTGGCAGAAATACATTGGGAGAGATTTTAATCGTGAAACGCTATATCCACCAGTTTTGAAAAACTGGATTTAAGATACATTGTTCTTTAATGTATCCGCTAATTGACATCCCGTCTGTTGAATTCTGCATGTATTCTGTCTGTCATGTCTGTATTTTCGGAGACATCATATAAGTCATCCTTATTATTTTCTTTATTTTAGCAAACAATAATAGTACATTATCTCAAAATCAATCCAATGGATATGAATCATTTTGTGATGAATTTCTCCTTTTGAATTGAAACAATATAAGGTTTTGCACTTAATTGATGTGATGGGGCAAAAGTTGAAACTGGTAATCCCGTGATGCAGGATTCTGTGATTGGTCGTTGAATGTGAAGTTTTATGTTTTATTTTGTTTCAAAAATAACCGAGGAATCATACTTTTGAAATAGTCCTAATATCTACATTAATTTGATTATGCGAAAAGTCCTTAGTAGTGGTATCTTATTTATTGTATCACCATCTTAATTTAGAAAACACATGCAATGCATAGGCTTTGGTGAAGGGATCCTTTTAAGCAGATTGAAAAAAAAAAATTGATGCTATTGTTTTATTGAGAAAACTGGGTTTTTTTAACATTGAAACCAAAGGGTTTCCAAAATGTTGAGCTGGGCACAAGTTTGCGGCTTACGTGTAACTCAGTTGAATTGATGGTCACCAACAGATATCAGACGGCATCAAGTAAAGGCATTGACAAGGACAACGTCACCAAGGTGGAGGCTATAAAGGAGGAAATGGAGCAGTGTCAATTCAAGGTGGATGCCTGCAAGGTAAGGTAGTCGAGTTGTGAGGATGAACTTTCATAAATGTAATTCAGTCCTGTGGGGGTGTCGTCTGAATACCTTAGTAGGCATTTATCTCAGTGGAATGCAGTGATGAGTTTATGACATTTAAGTTCAGCAACACCGACTCCCAGCAGCACTTTGGATAAGAAAGCCCCGTACAAGACTGCTCACTGAATTTAAAGCTCACAGGTATGGAGACTCACTAGCTTGGGTATGAAAACCCTCTTGTCTCATGCATGTAGTCCAGTGTGTGCTGGCACTTGGCAAACATCATGTCGAGGGAGAACCAGCTGGATTGTAAATTTGCCCTGATTTTTCTGGCTGACCCACATGACATGCAACTGTGCCTGTAGATCATGGAATTAAGCAAAGTGAAAACTGAGACATGTAGCATTCAAGTACCATTATAATCACAAATGTAAATGTACATCAAACCGTCAATGATACAAAGACACAAGTATAGGTGTACTTTTACAGGCAATAAAATGTTAATAGAGACCCCCATACTTTCAATCTGTGGCTTTGATTCCACAGTAAAAGAAGAGGGAGTGTGTAGTGAAACTAGCCATCTTTATAAGATGTACATGTATGCATGATGGTTAAAGCAGGTGGAAGGCCTAGAGGCAGAGGGTTGAAATAGACAAAATGCAAGTACGTTGAAATTGACAGCATTTGTTTGAATACTTGATTCAACTGCTGGAGTGTAATCCACAACAAAAGAAGTTCTATTTTGGATGTGCATGTGCATGTGCATGTAGAGGGAAGCATGCAAGTATGGCACTTTTTGTACTTAATAACAAATCTACCTGTATTTATGCTCGTGCCACTGGATTACATGTACCCATTTACACATTAATTAACAATTTGCGTCATGAATGTGATTGCACACCGTGTAGTGCTTGTCCTAATGCTTTTCTTGTAGACAGTTGTATTCCATACCGAAATTCCCTTTTCCTCATTTCTTTGTCGGTAGGACACTTTGGCCACTGAGATGATGAGTCTGGTTGCTAAGGATAGCATGATGGCAAGATGCCTTGTGGATGTGAGTTTGTGGCGTTTATTCTTCATTGGCAAACTGATGGACAGATCTTCAATCAACCCTATAAAAATTGGGGTCATAGGTGGTTGCTATTGACAGTGTCCATATACTTTATTGTACAATCTCCAGAGTGCCAGCCTGAATGTGCTCTTCCTAAAGTCTGTTGACTTTTCTTAAGTTTCTGGTCAGAGATTAGTATGTGTTATGTTTCCAAATCAACCCAGTTTTTCACTTCCAATCCTATTTTCAACCGTTAGTGTGTAAATTCACACCGACAAATGCATTAATGTGAGGCAAGTAAAAGGTTTCTAGTGAAATCAAACACTTCTGTAGACAATGCAAATGTTGCCCAAGTTGCTTCACTGATCATCATATTCACCTTTTGCGGGCGCTTTTTCGACAGATGGTTGAAAGCCAGGCCCAATACTATCGCACCGTCCTCCTCCGTCTAGAGAAACTGATCCCCGAGCTGAATGCCAGCCTCCAAGAAGCCCCCAGCCAGGGCGTCTTTGGCCATGCCCTGGAGGATCACCTCAGGCTGCAAGGCAGGGATATTGCGTCCCCCTTGGAGATGTGCATCTGCTGGATCATGGAGTTGGGGATGGACGAGGAGGGTATCTTCAGGATCGCCGGGAGTGCCTCCAAGATGAAGATGATCAGGGTAAGATGAGGGAATGTCAGTAAAAAAGTTGGAACGTTCTGTTTCCTGTGTAGAAACTGTTCCTTTGTAGAACAATGTGTCTTGCCGGTGGGACCGTTGCTGTATTCTCACAAGGAGCATACAAGTCCCAAACTAGTGTGCAACACACATGCATAAGTACTCCTATGCCGGAACATGTGTTGTTCTCAGAACGAACAACAGGTGCTCCGTAGTGGAACTTTGGAGCAATGTGGAACTTGTAGTGGAACTTGTTTTCACTTTGGAGCAATCTCTTCTGGTGGCAGATGACTTTGTTCACAGTTGCAGGGAAGTGACATTTCTTATAGCTCTCTGTGCCTCGGGTACATGAGCGAGTAAATTGCAAAGTTGCTTAAGCTTGTGCAGAATTTCTGCGGTCTCACCGTAGTTCTTGTCGGCTGTTTTTCTTTTGCAGGCAGCTCTAGACGCAAACGTCGAGCTTGACATGGAACTTGGCTTGGAGCATGCAGCTGCAGGTTAGTGCATGACCCGAGTATGAGCACACATAGCATCACCTTTTCTGTTCGTGCGTTTATGCAAATTCTTGACTGCAGGTCCCGTGCATACTCCTGTGCTGTTTGAGTCCAGAATATTCCCCGATTTCAGGATTTTTTATCAGGATTTTCTGTATGTTAGGGTTTTCAAAACACTCTCTTTTGGAATCTGGAGAATCCCAAATATACCGTCAGGGTGTTTTTTGGTTCAGAAAACAATTTAGACCACAAGAAATTGGTATGTCAAGGGTTACGTGGAAGGAATCACATGTACAGACCATGGACAGTACGTTAGTGGTTGGAGCCTTCAAAAGCTGTGATGATTTTTGTGCGAATTTTTAGAATTTCCTTCAATCTCACTCCTGCTGAGTTCATCAACTTAAGACAGGTTTGCGTCCATTGTTTTGTTGCAGGTGTGTTAAAACAGTATCTGAGAGAACTCCCAGAACCCTTACTGACATTTCCCCTCTACCAGGAGTTCATTCAGACTATGACGTAAGTGTAAAAGTATCTCTGATCCCTTTTTTTTTTTACAAGTAGTTGAGCAGTTCTCATTCTCCTGTGTTTTCAGTCCCGACAAGAAATTGTTGCACTGATGTGTTTATTTCTCAAAACCCAGAATCAAAGACAAGGACCAGAAACTGCAGGCGCTCTGGGCGGTCATCAACAAGCTTCCCAAAGCCAACTACAACAACTTCAGGTATCTCATCAAGTTCCTGAGCAAAGTCGCCAAGAGGAGCGACCACAACAAGATGAACGCGTCCAACTTGTCTCTGGTGATCGGCCCCAACTGCTTGTGGTCTGAGGAAGATGGGGGGTGAGTCGACCACGTGAAATAATGACTACGGCTAAAATATGCCACCAAAGTTACGAGGCTTGACAGGGGGTTTGGATAACAATGACGGCTACATACAAATGGTGCAATTGGGAGGTGTGTCTGGCGATGAAACTTAAGGCTACATCCGAATCTCTTGTCTAGAGCTAGGTCTAGGTCTTTGCTCCAATGGAAATGCGTGGAGACGCGCAGACAATAGACCTAGCCGTAGCTCTGGAAGGCCGTTTCGGACACGGCCCAGGACTCCTCAAAAGTGGCGCAGGCAAACTGACAATATAACGGAAATAGGAAAAACCCCAGAATGACCTGCCACTGAGATTCGTGGAGATAGGCAAAGCAGCAAAATCCCCGTCAGGCTTAGTCACATGGAGAGAAAGATCTGGAAAATAAAACTGCACTACGAACATGTACACTGTAACTCTCCAAAATACCGAGTGGAACGTTATCATCCGCATGTCCACCAGTAGTTTGATTGTACTTCGAAAAGCCTTATGGGGGTATTGTGTGCGCAGTGCACTTTCCAAAAATGTTGTTTTTGAGTACTTACATATGAAGGTTTAACTTTTTTTTTTTCCAGTTTGTCCATGACAAGCACCGGTGTTGCTTCCACCATCATTGAGAATTTTATTACCCATGCAGACTGGTTCTTCCCAGAAGGTAGGAACTGTTCCCCCAAAAATCACTGACATGCTCATTTCTGATCACATTTGGGGGAACTCCCTTGGTTGCCGCACTTGTAGTTTCTCACAATAAAATTTCTGACATAGTAACTATTCCTTTGGTGCCTCTTTCGGAGTTTTAGGTCTTTGCGTTTTAACCCAGGGTATGCCTGCTAGAAACCCTGCCAGACACATCAGTCTGCATCATTTGTCAAAGTGGCTTGCCTGCCCAGTGTAACAAGATCCAACAGGTCAACTCTCCCCAAGGCCAAACAGCCTGGGAGTCTGTGTTTGCCAGTCACCACAAGATCCAACAGAGGCATTGTTCAATGGGACTAACTCCCACTGTCTCAACATGGCTGGTGCGTTCGGCTGCTGTTGGTTGCCCAGAGCTTCAAAGTGCATCAGACTTTTTCACCTGATGCACTGTGCTGCATCTGGCAGGGTTACGCATTTGCACATGTACAAAATAATACACCAGTCTACCCCTTTTACGAGGCACCTGTCACATTCTCGACTGACCCTCTTCTTTGCCTCCCGTAGATATTCACTTCTCACCGTCAAGTTCAAAGAACAACTCATTTTCAGAAACAACTCAGTCGAGTGTCGACATGACTGATCACCCCATCCTGCCTGCTGTGACTACCAGCAACGCAGTGCCAGACAGCAATTTGCCGCCTAGTCCGGGAGTCACCATAACCGCGGCGCACCCTAGCCCCAGTCAGCCTGGTTCGGTGCCAGCATCCTCCTCACCACAAATTGACACCACTTCACCAATGTCACATCACCTAACTGAAAAGTTAGTACCTTTTTAATTCTCTCACATGCTTGTATTTCGTTTTCTTCCTTCACTTGTTTGTACTGGTGACGGGTTTAAGACACCTGGATGCAAAAGATGGAAAGCTCTTTATAAAGGAGAAATATCTTTCAAGCCTCTGGAGGTCTCTCTGTCCTTGATTACGATAAACTAACCCATGCAAACATCTTTGCACTCTGAAATCGCATCATAGGATTATTAATTAACCCCTTCATGGTGGGATTTTTTGGACCGCGACTGCTGGGCTGTGGTATNCGTCCTCCGTTGCGAAGGGGTTAACACCTTGATCACAATGTTCTTGTCTTTTTTTTTATAGTATGGCTCGTTACAAAACCTACTTTTGCATGCAGCAATACTTTGCAGTGATGAAAGCCACACAGCTAGCATGTTGATCTCTTCGAAAAAGTAGCTCATCAAACTTTTTTTACATCTCTTGTACAATGCTCTGTTCCCTGAAGGCTTTCTGCTGCTTGATTCAGAGTAAACTGGGTGGGTTCTTCCTGGGTCGTGGTGACACTGTATCTCAGTGTCAGTATTTCAAGCAAAAAACATGTTGGTTATATATAGAAAAGAAAATGTTAGGTAAGAATCGATCTTGGTAAAACGATGTGTGAGCAAAACCAGGCATCATTAGAGTTACTAAAAGAAGGAAATAACCACAAAAACGTTGCCACTTTGGAGCAAGTTGGTTTCGTTTGTGCACATAGTTATATACATACTTGTATGTAAATATTTGTGTATTGTGACCCAAGAACTTTTGTTGGCTCAAAATTTGGATTTGGACAAACCGAAAGTTTTTATCAATTCCCCCGAGGTTCAAGATATTGAGATTTTACTGTATTGCTTTTGTTGAGATATTGAAGTACAATATTATTGTTTGAAAATATTACATTTCCAACATTTTTGTTTGGTTTAGCCCTTTTTCCATCTGTCTTAACTGATATTCCTAGAATGTCGCCATTTGATATAATTGGCCTCATGTGCATTTCTTTGGAAGGCGTCAGCATGGTCTTTCTCTTCCATAAAAGTCAGCAGTAACAACTAACCTTTCTTGTAAACTTACCCCAACCAATGTACCTCATCTCAGAGCAGTCAGGCTGTAGTGTCTCAAAAGTCGCAAAAAAGAAGCAACAGGTGCATTGTGGAGATGGAGATTTGGACAAGTTTGAGGACAGGTTAGGATAGGAATTTCCTACTGAATAGTAAAGAAAAAAAAGAAAAGTGAAGTAAGAAAAGTGCTGTTCTTTTTGGAATGTAACGCCCATAATTCTGAGACTATACAGGCTGCAGTAGCAGCCAAGTGTACTGATTTCAGTTTGAAAAATGAGAGAGTTACGTCGGCATCAACACTTTGTTCACACATTTTTTAAGGGAGCAACCTTATAATAAAATACATGAAAGGCTGGGTTTGATGTCAGAAAAATTATGAAAAGGAAATTGATAACTACATGTGCGTCGGATTGCATGTAAGCAATCACCAAAGACCAGGTGTCATCAAATGTGTGCACCCTCAAGAATTTCATTTCACACCGATGTCACACTTTGTGTGATCACTTTCCTATAGAGCCAGTGGGGCCCCCATAGACCATTGGGCACCATAGGAAAGTGCGCACAAAGTGGAAGTGTGGCGTCAACACTCAGTACTGAGGTCCATAGAGGATTTTCAGTCACATGGTTTTTGACGGTTGGTGTTTAATTTACACAGAGGTGCGTGCCAGAAATGCGCCTGCCTTCAAAGTCTCTCAACATTCTGGCGTACTTGAAATCGCCAATAGAAATACACAGATTCGAAAATGGGCGTGCCTCCGGGTAAAATGGTGCGCTTCCTGTGATGCCTTTGCCTGTCACGTTACGTCGTGTGAAAAATCTCTATTCCTAAATCAAACCGTGGGTCCCGCAGTGGTTTCACTCTCATCACTTCCCCAGCTTTGGGAAATTAAACAATGCATGCATTTACACACATCACATTTTATGTGCATACACATTATCTCAGTCTAACAAGGGAAATTTGTTATGTTGATGTTTACTGCTAATCGTTTGATGTTTCATATGTGCACGTGTACATCGTCAAAAGTTTTCTGTTTTTAACATGGCCATCAGAATATTTCTGAATAGTCGCCAGTTATCCTGGCACTTTTGTGTAAGACGTCATAAGCACGTAATGTTCTGTGGTCTTTTCCTCATGCATGTAGCAAAACATCCTCACCCTCTGGCCAGAAGCACATGAAACGCCGAGCCCCGCCCCCTCCCGACTCTGAGGCAGGGGGCCTAGAGAGGGCCCGCTCCCTCGAAAGGGGGCTCAAGGCGCCTCCCAAACTCCTCCCCAAAACTAGTCTGCGGAGGGTGAATAGTAGCTCCTATAAGCCCTAAGGATGCATGACAAGGTAGTTGACACACCTAACTATCGCCTCTACAGCTTTCTGAGCCATTGCTAATGACACCTTTCTGTGCGAGCAGTTTGGCACTTCCTTTTGACAGTTTGCACTTCCTTTTGACAGTTTAACACTTCCTTTTGACAGTTTAACACTTCCTTTTGACAGGACTGATTGCAGGCTTTGGAAGGGAGAAAAGGGTGCATGTGAAAGATACAGTGCGTCATTCGCAGTTATCAAAAAAGTAACCAACGAAATTATTGCTGAAAATCATAGTTGGTCTAAAGAAGGTTGTGGGACTAAACTCGCTGTGAAATTATTCTTTCTGGCAAGCTGTCATTTTGCAAGAAAAACAGTGATAGAAGGCTACTTCCAACGATGCATCTGAAGACGCATTTTCGGAAAATCGCAGTCAGCAGCACGTACAAACATTGACACCTGGCACACACAAGCACAGTTACGAGTATTTGTAAATTCAGTGCGTGACATCATGTACATGTAGCTGCATTAGACTGAACGTGAAAATGTGTCCCAGATGTTGAGTTCAGGCAAAATTCAAAACAGGACTCAGCAACTTTTGATCTGAAATCCTAGAATATTGTTTTTCTCTGAATATAAAAGTATCCACTGAGCTGAAACTTCATCAGATTTAGTCTCGGGCACCCTTCTTTAGAATTTGAGTAATTCTCTTGCCCCAAAGGAACATAATGCTCAACTGGCAAACTGGCAAATGATGGACTGTACCTTGAAAGACTAATATATGCAACACCCATCATTTCAGTTTCTGCACCATAATACTAACAGTGCCTTTCCCTGTGAGTAAATCAACATTTCCTTTGGCAAAGCATACGAGCCTTAGAGAGACAGAGTACAGTACGTAATCCTGTTTGGTTATTAACTACCTGAACTAGTCAGTATTTTCACCGTCGATGGCTTCTTTGGATGGATATTGGCACAGTGTCACAGTACCATATTAAACCTTCAGAATTGCCATCCAGTGCCATCTCTTTGATTGGGAAACACGATACACTGCCTCAAAGAAAAGGTTCATTTCTGGCTTGCTAAACTCTAATCCTTTTCAAACTGCTGTTACGTGAGCTTTTCCGTAGAGTTAACTTCTAGAGCCAAACAATAATTCTCTGTGTCCCTTTTTTTTTATATCGGCTGTTGGCACAGTATTTACACAGAGGCTTGCCCTTTTTTCCTGGGGAGGAAGAGGACTGTTGACATGCACTTGTTGACCTTTACACACTGCGCATGCATTGACGTTTTCTCTACCGAACGATTTGTTTATTACATATGCGGATCAGTGTAGGAGGTTTGATACTGTCCTATTTCTGTAGGCTCTCCTCGTGTGGTACTGAGCACACGTTTAATGCCCTCGTCTTGCACCACTTCATTTATTTTTGACTGCACGACATGTATTGGTAGCTTGATTTGCTTTTACACTACGCCTTTTGTGTAATTGCAATTCCCAGATTGATTGAATTTTTTGAGATTTTTTGTTCCTACTTTGGTTTCATTTGTACCACAGTTTGCATATATCTAAATTTTTTTAAAATTTTGTTTGAAATTACTTGCTGTGGATTGCTATGGAAATGATAAAAACTATCCCAAGGGGTGTAAAATGGTCCTTTCAGACTGGAGGGTTCAGCTGTGTTTTGGGTAAAAGTGAGTAAATAAGAGGTTGTGCATTGTCCTGCTGTCAGTGCATCACATGGCCTTCCCTACAAAGTAGAAATCAAAAACCACCTCTCTCTCCAACTAAGACTACAGTGAAAATAAAATCATCCATTTCGCATATTGCTTTTTAAAAAAAATTATTTGGAGATAAATGTTGAGATCCTGACTGTCCTCAGCGGAGGGAGATTACCAAAGTAGTAATTAGGGATGAACGTGGCCCTTGAAGATCACAAGAAACACATTGCACTACAACTAATCTGTAAAATCTTCCCAGTCATATTTAAATATTAAAAAAAAAAAACAACTGGGAGGAACTACAGATTATAACTCGGCATGTGCGGTGACCATCAGTGCCCAAACACAAAGCCGAGATAGAAAACAGAAACTGTGTAATACTGTGAAGCCTCCAGGTGTATAGTAAACAATATGCATAATGTGTCTTTATCAGTGTTACTTTGACAGAGCAAGTTGTAGCCACCTCGAGTTTGAACTAGAATTCACTTTTTTGTGGATTCCATAATTCAGATTCTTGTTAGTTTTAGTATTTTGTTTTGAAAGTTGGAGACTGCAAATTAATTCTTTTTCATTCCTATACACATGCTCAACTCAGTTTTTTCTCAGTCTTGTAGTATATCTCAGTGATATGACTTGACAAAAGACTCTTAATAATGTATGAGTAAGTATAGGTATTAATGTATTCCACTGTGCTTACATAGAACCACCATATTGAAATGAAAGAGAGGCTAGACTGGCAAAATGTTTTTCTTTGAAATTGCCAAGCTGTCACACAAGCATTATTTCAGAGGTTGAAACTTCTCATTCTCAACCACATCTTACATTTGCCACAATTAGAAGCATCCACACACAGGTTTAGTTTGCTGTGAATAAAAATAAACTTTGATTCATAAAATTTTAATACCAAAACCAAAAGCAACAATTACAAGGACAAATATCTAAAGTATTCAAAAGCACTAAAACTACAAACAGACGCATCTTTATTAAAGCAGGTAAATAAATGAAAAGTTGGACTTAAGCCAAGCAAATTTACTTTCCTCGCCACACTGAAACCACAAACATGGAATTTGCATGTACAAACGGCAAGTATATAACTACAATTATGGAAATGGAACCACTCACTTTATAACAAAGAGTGAGGACTTAAGACTTGAGAGACACTCCAAAAGGAAGGCAAGTACAGTGGGAGGAAAACGAAGAAATAGGGAGGTAATTTAGAACGGAAAGAGACGTGCTGTGTACTACGGCACTCTATGAGTGCCATCCGACTTATTCAGATACCGAGATAATTTATCCTAGTAAGTCAACTAAAAAAGCGTATTTAGTCAATTTAACGAGATAAATGATGTAGTTAAGTCGACTTCCTAACTATAGGACTAACTAAGTCGACATCGTGAGATATTTTGTGACATAAAGCCTGCTTCCAGAGTTCCCTATATCGACTTGGTAAGATAATTTATGTCATCAAGTCTACTTCCAGAATTCACTATGTCGACTCGTCGAAATAAATTTTGTTAAGTCGATTTCCCAGCTCCAGCAAGTTGAATTGGCGAGAAAATACGCTGCAGGTCATGTTCACTCGTGAGTAGTCAGTACATGCCTGCATATAGTACACTTGATGACATGGATTATCTCGCCAAGTCGACTTACTAGAATTAGGAAGTCGACTACATCATTTATCTCGTTAAATTGACTAAATACGCTTTATAAGTCGACTTAGTGAGAAAAATTATCTCGGTATCTGAACAGGTCGGATGGCACTTCCAGAGCTCCGTAGTGTACATGTAAGTTGCAGCTTTAAGATCGCGTAGATGTGAGAGGTAGAAATTAAACCGATACAGAAACATAAATGCAAGCTACCACAGAGATCCCGTTGTATGCTTCAACTCGATGGACTCTTGGTAAAGATCGCTGTAGTTTGACAAGGCATGGACAGATGGAAAGACTTCTTAACAGGGCATACACAGTCATTCCTTTAAGATCAGTAGGATGCACTCTTCCTCTGCATTTGCTGGTAGCGGGAAACCAGACCGTTTCATCCTCTTATTGCGGTGTGGCATCACTGGTTGGCATTCACTGATCATGTTTGCGGCTGCCTTCTAATTGTCATTGCGGGGTGGTATATTAACATTCCCAGCTTCCCTCAGTATAGGAGACATTGCATCAGTTAGCATACTTTACAACGCTGCTTCATGTTGCATAAGGTGTATGATATACAGGCTTTAACCTCCAACAGGTGCAATAATGGACTATGAGAGAAATCACACTGGAGAAGTACTGCTGTTTATCAAGCATCATTTTAAAAAGTCTGCTACTCAATTAGCCACATTGGAAATGCATATTTTCAAGGAAACTAAGAGTCACATAAGTCAATGCTGAATCAAGTATTTATGTAATGAAAAAAATCCTGAGCAAAAAATGGTGTGTGCCAGTAAGTCCTTCTGATCATAACAAATGTACATGTAGAACAGATGTTCAGTGTGTGAAATGCTAATCATGTGACTTTAGCTACATGCATGTACTGATCCATCCTCTGGATGATTGTTGTTACCACAGATTGAAGTCATCCTCGTTACCTAGACGATCGCTAAAGAAGAATCCAGCTCCTCCCATTCCAGGTGTGTCACCAACTCAATCGCCCAACTCGTCCCTACCCAGAGACACCCCAGTACCGTCCTCGTCCACCCTCAGCGTCAACAACGTCAACGGCAATCCACCCAGCCACCCGACGGAGAAGGTCACGCCCGAGCGACCGGACAGACCATCAAAAGCCGACAAGCCCGCTAAACTTGAAAAGCCCCCCAAGGCGGACAAGCCGCCCGTGCTGGAGAAGCCAGGGCGGCCGCCAGTCCCTGCCAAGAAGAACAGCCAGGGACGTGAGTCTCGCGTGCCCATCTCACCCCCGCCGTTGGTGGTTGCTGATAACGTGCCACCCTCGCCGACGCTAAGACCTAAATCCACGAGTCTTTCCCGGCCTACTATATCACCCCCTCCCCCACCGCCATCACAGAAAAGTCGAAAGCCCGCGGAGAGTATCGACAGTGAATATACACCAGAGGAGGCGACGCAATTTTGAACATGTACATATTGCATTTGTTTTTATATCTAAAAAAAAGTAAGAGTTTGGCTGCTATGATGTGACTGCGTAAATCATTGTGTATAAAAAGTTTCATGACAGAAATTTGATGAACTGGCTCAAATTGTTTCTTCTGAATTTTTTTTTATTCTCTTGTTTGAATGGATTCTGCACAGATTTGCATTTGGAATTTTACAATCAGAATCCACGCAAGAACCTTTTTTTGTTCTGTGAGACGGAAGTCATTCTGAAGAGACTGTACATGTATAAAGGAAGTTGTTGCATTTTAATTCCAAAAGCTGATGTTAAGGCTTACTTTAGAACTGATTAAGGAAATATATCGAATCATGCAAAATAGTACACGTGCCACTGAAGACCTTTTTTGTTATTCTTCGAATGTACTTAGATGTGATTCTGTGGTATATAAATTTGGCAATGGGAATGTAATTTGGATTAGTACTGTGTTGTGTACATGCACCTTAATTTGTACATATACATGCAGGCCATCATGTACTATGACATACTGGCACAATGTATATATTTGCATACTTTTATATTAGTTTAGAATTCGTTGTTATCGAGGGAGAAAGCAAAATTATGTACTAAATGTAAATGGGTGAGCATATATGAACTTCAAAGGCAACAGTATTTGTGCATATATGCCGCTATTGATATTGTTCGGATACATCCAGGATAAAAATGATGCTGGTTTTTCACTGCAATTAAACTGTGTCATGTGGTTCTCCAAACGTGCTTACTACATGTACGTCAAGATGGAAGTAAAGTTTGGGAAGAATGAAACATTGTTGAAGTTTTGTGGTATGATTTGTGTTCAACTAAAGGTTCATCAGGACTAATTAGCATTCTTTGAATACTGTTGGGGGGGACGAGACTGAACAGTGGCAATACTATTGACCCAGTTATGGTCAAATAGCAAATTGGAATCAAAACAGTCATTTATTTGAAGCACCTAAGTGTAAAATAACTGGGGTTTTTTCATAATCTCAGCCGTGTTTCATTCCCATTTTTATCTGATATGTCAGTTTCGAAAAATGGGCATATTGAAAGCAAAGGTTTTTATCACTAAAATGGCACAAATACACCCCAACCTCTTTTATTTATTCCTGCAAAAGAGTGATGTTCAAAGGAATTGCAGTATTGCATCGAGCAGCTATAAATGACTGTATTGGGTGTTCAGACACAATGTACAATATATACATGCATGCGTTATACTCCGTCAGGCTATTGTAGCAATATTCCTCACTTCTTGCAAGACACAGAATCAAGGCCGTTGCACATTGCAGGCAGGAACTGCAGATATTTAAGAAGAAATGTATAAGTCGTCTTTGTTTGAACCCTCCCTTTCCGAATGTCCAATTTGCCAAGCAATCACTTGTCCATGTATCATATTACCTTAATTTTATATGAGAAGTGATGCCGACTGTCAAGTCAACGAGGAAGCGTGTTTTTGTAACGTCTCTATTTGCCACATTTGCAATGTGGAAATCAAGTCATGCAGTGATTGGTCTTCCTAATAGTACTGAAACCAATTATAAGGGGCATTTCGTTCCGTATTCAAAACAGAGAATGCAAAGTATTTCCAATCATGTTAGCCATGGAAATTATGCTCCATAACGTGCTTACTTATATGTATACACGTGCGGCACACGTGCGGCAGAGCGTGAAGTGAACGTCAGTCCTTACTTTTAGGGCACTTCTACATTTTTGTTTTTCTCACTTTTGAACTTCTTTCATGTGTCAGTCCTTTGCAGCTTTGGGAAGTCTTCGTTCTTTTGCACAGTGGAAGGATTGGGAAGTTATTTTCTGAAAGATGATGCTAGAAAATGTCAAATTCTTACCTGTTTTGGCAGTAGAGGAGATGAATAAAACTTATGTTACACAGTCGCAGGGTCCTACTAGTAAGGATGGTGTGTGTGAATGCCGCCTGTGTTCTGGGAAAACTAGTCTTATCTCGGAATAGATGGACAGCTGATCAGCTTAAACACTCGCTTCCTTAATTTGAAGGCTGTAAAGTCACTAATGTTGATTATTCTGATGTTAATCAGAAGAAAAGTAACGAGACAATTTCAGAGTTACAGCTGAGGCCAGTTACATGCAGCTGTTAAGCCAAGACGTTTGCCAAGCAAAGTATTTGCAGAGGAAAAGCTGGTTATTAGTTTTTTAAAGTAGTTATTTGCACACTGCGTGTGAGGTTTTCTTTGGTTTTTCTTTCCTCTATTCAGTAGACCTTTGAAAGGCACAAGAAGTCTGCTATTTGTGTAAAATCATATTGAAATTGGAGGACTTGGGACTGTTGGGGCTTTTAGGGCTTAACCCCAACGGTCCCAAATCCTCCAATTTCAGTATGATTTTATTTTAGGGGGAAAGAAAAATCTTTCTGCTGACTGGCTGCATGAAATTGGACTCTGGCATGATTGCATAGTGAAGTGTTGCTTACAATATTGTTTACCTACCCTCATGTCGATTAGCGTACGGACATTGCCTTGAATGGCAGTCTCAAGATTATACTCTTAAAAATGTGGTATTGTTTCCTTTCTTTAAGCCCTTTAATTTTGCTTTGTACCAAATGGGTGTTGCATTTGGAAGAATTATTATTTTAAATCATAACTTATTCGCATATGCCGTATTTCCACAATAAAAGTCACAGTAGGGCCCTGTTGGGGTTTGGTAACACGATTTTTATGATTTTTGAAGTTGTTAACTAATTATGCCGTGGCCTTATACCCATGGATACGGTCGTCATATTGTAGAGGAAGGAACACAGATTCCTCTATTATCGGATCCTGTCTTCGGTTCCCGAAAAGAGCACAATTAAAATCAAGCCTGGAGATAGCTACATTTCAGCCTATACATTTCGTCGTAGTACAGGGCAATTTTCGCCCTCATCGCTCCATGCAAGGGTACTAATGGCCGCCCATCGCGGGAGGGAGTGCGAGGGGGCTGCCCCGGCGGGAACCCTCCCCCATCTGTTAGGAAACGTTATAACCATAAAAAAATACGAGGCATCCTTTTAATGAGCCATTAAAATGTATATATACGTGAATAATCTCATTTGTGCTGGCCTTGGCCGCAAAGTATAACTTAATCATTCAATTCACAGAAAAGCTAACCATTCTAAGACTTATTTTCCCCACAAGGACGGGATTCTAAGTGCTGTGTGTTTTATTCTTGTGATGTGGCCTCCTCACTATAGATAGTACTGAGTGGAATCAGTGATCACCAAGTGGTTATTGTTGGCTTGAAAATCAATCGGAAGATCCCCTTGCCACCCAAACGTTAAGTGTTCTTGTGTGGCAAGGCAAATTTTGACGGTGTGAATGAATATATGGCAAATTTCAATAAGATCTGACAAATAATGGTTTGAACTCTCACAGCATCGATGAACTATTCGTCTCCTTCAGGAAATCCTGATGAGCTCTATTGATGAATATGTTCCATCTAAAATGAGCTAACCCCACCTGTTTCTCTTACCCTTGGATGAATAGCCCGATTAAGCGGAACACAACCAAGCAAAAAAATATGGTACTTCTTCCCGTTAGTCAGGACTGATAACATTCCGCTGAGAAGTTGACAGAGAGATTCGGAGAGCCCATAAATTCTACATTAAAGACGTTATCAGATCTAGTCTTAAATAAGACAATACCATACTGTTTTGGAATTATGTTAAATCCAAGAGGCAGGAGGTATCTGGTGTTTCACCACTTCGCATTGTGAATCATAATGTCAAGTGCCAAAGACAAAGCTGATGTACTAAATTGCCTTTTTTGCTCGGTCTTGACAAATAAAGATAAGCTTTGCATCCGTAGGCTAGCAGCGTCCACTGCTGAAGGTGTCCAAAAACTATTGGCAAAGGACCAGGTCCTGATGGTATCATATAGCTTGTGTGATCAAAGCTTGTGCTTCCATAAATCCATTTCGACAGGAACTGTGCCTTCTGACTGGATGGTTGCAAACATCACGCCTCTTCATAAAAAAAGAATGATCGGTCTGACCCTGCAAATTACCGCCCCGTGTCTTAACAACAATTATCTGTAAACTCTGGAACATAATTCACGGTCATATCATGGAACACTTTGTGCATTATGGAATCCTAGCCAACCAACAATACGTTTCTAGGAAGGGCAAGTCATGTAGACACACTTGTCAGCGTTTGTCCATGACCTGCAACTGACCTTGGATAATCGCAGCCGAACAGATCTCATCATCATGAATTTTAGCAAGGCTTTTGACACTCTTCCTCATCACAGACTTCTAGTCAAACTTAAACATTCAGGAATCTGGAGCAACATACATAGGTGGATCGATTTTCCTCACCAAAGGACACCAGAATGTGGTTGTCGATGGCCAGTCTTCACAGCTATCACCAGTTCTGTCAGGAGTTCGACAGGGCCGCATGCTTCGCTCACTAGGCCCCCCCCTATATCCATGAACAATTTCGGAATGGAATCTCCTTCCCGACTCGGTCAAAAACAGGCCACGTTGAATTCCTTCAGAACTCAATTTGGGATAGGAGTAATATTAGCGAACTCTCTATCACAGCGCATTTTAAAATGTAATACCAACTGGTACCATGACAGCGTTACCTGCACATGTTAGCCCCATCATTGGCGTTTGTACAGAACAGTCTGGTAGATGACAGATACAGATAGGCTACGGTGATAATGTTGCCTCCCGTGCCTCAAGCTGGCGACGGGGCTCGATCAGGACGCGGCTATCTCTTTCACAAAATGAACGTGTGATGGAAATGCCAAAACTTTGAGTACTTAATGAGTAGCCTCGTGCTGCCGGCATGACACAACTACGTTGTCGAAGCGATACTTACACTCCACGTGCTCATCTGCAACGGAGAGATTGCACGTCACGTTTTTTCAGTGGTTCCTTGACATGTACACTGAACTATCACCGAGTACCAACAGCAAGGGGTGTGCGCCCCCGCGCGGTAAACAGCATGCACAGCGGAAGCAGTATCATCGAAATGATTTCAATCCAGCCTCAACTACTTGTACATTACCAACGAGAACATCAAGCGAACTCAAAAATCGTCACCCAAAAATGTTAAAGATTAATATCAGTCACGATCGCGCGGTAAAAAAATTTGCTCATTTTTTTCTCCGATGGATTCAGTAAACAACAGGAGAATCCATCGGCTGATATTTTATTTACTGTTATAATAAAGCATAGACTGCATGATTTTAAAATATATTGAGACCAAATGGAACTTTGCAACCGAAATCAAAATGCATTTATATAAATCTCTAGTTATTTAGGTTTGATGATGGGTAATTAGGCATTGGTCCTAGCCTTTATGACCCCGGGACCCCATCCGGTATCTAATTGCTCTCTTTGAAATTGAGTCAAGTTCTTTCTGAAGTGCTGATACAGGTCTAGTATTCACACTACTGTTGAACTTAGGAACGCGTGCCTTTGAACGCGTGCTGAAGCAAACATTCTTGTTTGGAGCTGCATGGTTTGAAGATCTTCGTTTAGGCTACCCGGTACCCGTGCTTGTCAATGTCTTATTTTTTTTTAAATACACGTATACCCAAGTTGGAAGAAATGGGCAGTTTTGGGGGTCAGAGCACCTCTTTTGCATTAATTTCGAAGTATTTAAATGCAGGAAACTTAACGAAAATGATTATCACAAGACCACTTTTATAGACACCGCCCTCACTTGAAAACACACGAATCCGGCGCGGCTTACGTACACGTACACTTGTGTAATATGCATGCGCGCGCCAGTTTCAATAGGAAGTGTCGCGTAAAGAGCTTGTCAAGTGTTCACCGCATGTACATGTAAATTAGTCAAAGTGCCGTGTCCAAAACAAATGGATTTGGCTTTGCTGGTAGAGCAGGTGTCGATAGTATGCCCCGACATATCAAGAGTAGACATTGAAAGGGATTTGGTGGTGACAAGAGACGTTCAGGAGACTGTCAATCGAATCTTCGAGGGCAACGTGAGTGTTTTGACTTGGTTGAGTTCATTTGGCCCCTGGCTGGTGGCTTTATCCGTGTCCTGGCTCGCATGGAGGTCTATTATGATGGTGGTGCAGATACATACATGTAACGTTAGCTTAATTTTCTACATACCTAGCTGTGCAAATACTTTATTAAATGGGTGTTCATTACCTTTAGCACCCTGTTCCTGTAAGAAAGGGAAGTCCACTTTTCAAACCAACTGACATTTACTAATCCATACCGTCTGTCATGTCATTATCACTCAGACTCAGTATAGCTCTAGTCATTGTGTTGTTTAGGTAAATTTTGACAATATTTACACAAGAAACCCAGAATTTTCTAACCCAAGTTCAGTGAAAAATGGCCGCATCACATCATTTTGTTTCACGTCTGGTTCCTGGATACAGCTGTTGTGGATATAGCCCCACTAGTGTGGCACGGATCACCCCCGATTTATCCTTAGCCACACATCCGTATGCGCAATTTCGTGTCGGCGTACTGAACATTTTTGGCGCACCCACTTATAATCGTGGGCGCAATTTCTTTTGCATACGAACATGATTCTTGACCTTTCCGTTTTCTAAATACCATTTATTGAATGATTTCACTCACGTTATTCAGGTATTTTCCAGTCTTTTTTCCTTTATCCATTCAATCTAACGGGCTCACTCTCACAGTCGCCATCTTTAAAATAAGGTCGTTGAGCATTACGTCACTTGACCCCTCTTCGTCTCAGCGGCTGTTACATGTCAAGACATGTAATAAACGGACTGAGCGATATGATACAACATGGACTCTTCCAAAACTTTTGCAGCAGTTTAGATGTCTTGACATGGAACAGCCGTTCCTATAATAAAAAAAGCAATTCGAAACAAAGTCCACTTTCTCAAACTAACATTTTGACCTTAAGGAACCATTATGCAATCCTGACAGGCCTAGTTTAGGTAAATTTTGACAATATTTAAGCAAGAAAACTTCAACTTTCTAACCCGAGTTTGGCAAAAGACAGTCGAATCACACCATTTTGTGTTTCGTCTGGTTACCAGACTCAGGCATTTTGGATTCATCAAAACAAATCTCCATCCAGATCAAGGAACCGGACTACATTCGCTAATTTGTCATTGTTCACAGCTCTTTGGGGCGCCTATTATGTACGCTGCCATTTTACCAAAGAATTTCCCTCAAAAACCAAAAGCCCCTCTCTCTTTTCTTTGTGATTCGAAAGAGGACATCACCAACAACTTGTTTAGATAAATTGTTTCGAAAAAGTAGAAGTGGTTCCCTTATAATAGGAACAGGGTGCTAAGGGTAGTAAACCCAGGTAAGAGTTCTATATACGTTCTATACATGTTCTATATATGTTCATCACTAATTCTTCCTTGTAGTGGCCATCAGAAAGTGATGACATGTCCTCAGCAGTCACATTTTGCAGGGAAACTATTGAAGCATTTACTAAGAAAGATATGGGTATAATTTTTAGACTAGTGAGTCTCATAGGATTTGTGCACAGGGTATCACGTGATGTCGCCACAATCTCTAGTTCTACCATTCATGAAAAACAACAAAGGTTTGAAAACACGACAAAGGCTGGATCCAGAGGAGCCTATGCCCCTCCCCACCATCAATCAGGAAGTGAATTTTATTTTTGAAAAATATTGAAAGATAAAGTTTTCTGTTTCATTTCCCTTACTTTAACCCTATTCCTCTAGGGTACTTCAGCTAGGTACCCTGCCAGACACATCAGTCTGCATCACTTGTCAAAGTGGCTTGCCTGTCCAGTGTAACAAGATCCAACAGGTCAACTCTCCCCAAGGTCAAACAGCCTGGGAGTAGTTTGTGGTTGCCAGTCATTACAAGTGCATTGTTCAGTGGAACTACCTCCCATTTCTCAGCATGGCCATTTTGTTCGGCTGCTGTTGGTTGCAACTTGAAGAGAGTGCACCACACTTTACACCTGTTCCACTGTATTTTATTTCAACAAAGTTTGCATCAGTACATCATTATTACAAAGACTACTCGTGTGCGAGACAGAAACAAAAGAGCTTTGGGAAGTTCGAGAGCAAACATTTCTGTTCGCTTAGTCAGTTTTGCATGGTATTCATGATACGTTTGTGCATAGGATACCAGGGAATTTGATCAATGATCGCGTTTGTATAACAGACTCATTCCTGTCCCCGTAGTATATAAGGTAATGCGGGGACAGATAACCAGATTGCATGTACTCACTGGTACCCGCAGTAGTTTCACATTAAAGTTTATGCAATTAAAGAAAGTGAGAAAACAGTGCATTTGCAGATGATATTATTTACGTAGGTTATGTTAATTGTACAGTTTGACAGCAGGCCTATCGTCTTCTGAAATTCAGAGCTGTTTTCTTTGGATAAATTCCTGGAGACAGAGGAATGACACAACAATTGTTCACCGCTTTGGTGTGGGATGTGACTTTTTGAACACCCATAGCACCCCAAGGCGAAGCCGAGGGCGCTATGCGTGCCAGGACAAATGTAAGGCTGCATCCGAATCTTTCGTCTAGAGCTAGGTCATTGCTCCATTGGAGATGCATGGAGACGCACAGACAATAGACCTAGCCATAGCTCTGGAAGCCCGTTTCGGACACGGCCCAATATTCACGCAGGCAGTTTTTGCAACATATGACCCAGAGTATACATGTAAATTAAGGCTACTTTGAATTTTCAGTTTTTAGTTGGTGCAGCATCACATCTAGAA